AACATATTTATGTATTAAAAACAAAAATGTTCAAAAGTTTATCGATATAACATATAACACATTCATGAACTTCCCCGCAACCTAAAATGGCCCGAATGTAAGTAGATAAGCCTTGGTATAAATAACAGGATAGACTTTATAAAGTATGAAGATATTAGTATCTCATAAAATAAGTTTAAAATGAAAATAATTAGCTGGAATTTATTAAATTCTATTAGTTTTTATTTATAATTATCATATATATTACACTAAAAAAATATTTAAAATTGGAAAATTAATTTGGTTTTTTTTTAATTATCTATTTATTTTTATTACATATGAAAAATACTGAAATTACTCAGTATATATCACAATGTAATGAAAAATAATAGCTTATTGAAGAAATGATGGATTTTAATCGCTAGTAATCTAAATGGCTCCTGAGTAATTAAGTAAATAATTCAGTTTTTGTCGTAAGCATTCTATAATGACTACTATAACATAATACTATCTATATGTTATGTAACTGGTAAGCTTATGGTAGTTATTATAGAGTTAAATTAATTTGTTTTCTCTGCTAACATGGGTTACCATTATATTATGAAATGTTACCATTTTGAATTAATACATAATCTTACTAAATATAACTGAACAAATTGACAAGAATGAAAACTTTTTTCCCTTTTTTTTCCAGTATATGAAAAGTTTTTAAGCAATTCATTTTTAAACAATTTACCCGTGAGCCTTTTAGTTATAGATTTGACATGTTTGTCGCCTAAATAGGATAACTGATTTACTTATATCAGGGATGGGCAACTCAAAGTTATTATAGGGCCAATTTTCAGAAATTTAAAATATAGCGGGCCAGAAGATGGAAAGCAAAAAAAAAAAGAGCATTTATTTTTTATATAATGAAATAGGACATAGGTTAGGTTAGGTTTATATAATAGTAATGAATAAAAAATGAATAATTATTAATTAATTTTTATTTTGGAGTTTTTATATAGTATTACTAAATTTATGTGGAATGCACCATATTCAGAAATCATACTTCAAATATTTCAATATTTTGTAAATTATCTAATGGTAATAAATAACTACTTTTCACATCTGTTATTGGTGTAGATGACTTATTCATACTATCAGACAAGTCAGATGATGACATTTTTTCTAAAACACTTTCCATTATATCAAATCTTTGAGTAAAATCCCTTTGGTTGTTTACTATTTATTTTAATTCATGTTTTATAAAAGACAGAGTATGAAGGACTTCTTTTTGAAACTCTTTGCCTATTCATAACAAAAAAAAAACTATTAATGAAAGAAAGTACAAATTAAGTGAATATTAACAGTATCACATCACATAAAAGTAAACTGACCAAGTTCAGTTGGCGTAATAAGACCTTTTGGTGTTTCTGCTAATGATGATCTAGATGCTGGTGTTACAATTATTATTTGTGGACTTTTTTTATTAGCTAAAACTAATATATCGGATGTTAATAAGTTTTAATTTTTATAAAAAATTATATTTACTATATTTGATCTCAGCCAATCTTAATGAATTATGATTATAATTGCTGTTACTACCAGTAGTATAATCATTTTCATCATTATCATCACCGCTGATTTCATAGCCTACCAAAAAAAATAGATAGAAGATTATCATAATCAAAGTTATGATTTTAGAGACACAAAGAATATTAAAATAAATGAATTTATAAAATGTCAATATTTGTTTAAAGGAACACACAACACAAAAATAAAATTTCTTTAAATTATTATTAAATGTTAAATTATTGTATTCGGAACAACTAAAAACGAATTGGTCAAAGTCCATCTAAAAAAAAAAAATAATACCTAAGGAGATATTGAGATATAAATAAGAAAACACCACAGATACAATAAAAATTATAAAATATACTTTAAAGATAGGTAAATTATTGTGTGAAGCAATAAAATTTACTTCTTAAAAGATTCATAGGCAATTACCACAAGTCAAGTCCAATATTATATTGGCATCTTTTTTTAATTGCTCATAACACATAATTTAATCAATACTTATAAATTATAATATTACAGGTATTTGTTATATAAGTTTAATACATTATCGTTTGAAATACTTAACTTTTTATGGAAATAAATACTAAATTTAATATTCTTTAACCACTTATTCATTTTTCCTTTATCACTTTTAACAGGAGATTCATTGTAAGACAATTTTTTACTATTGATGGCCTTTGAGTAAAAGTTGTACTAATGCTAGATGTAGGTTGTGTAATGGAATTGATAAAAATGGATGAATTAAGCTGAACTTTCTGTGCTACAAATCGATAAGAATAAGATCAAAGCATTATTATAATATTATAATAATTATATTTATATATGTTTGTTTTCTTTAAATTTATATGTATTTTGTTATTAGACATTTGATTTTGAAAGAACACAAAATTAGAATTTAACGTTCAATATAAATTATTGAGTGAATTTTTGATATTTAATCTATAATAATATTATTCTAAGTAATTTAAATAAATATTAAAATGTATGTAATGTAAAATTTGTTTTATTTTTTAAATATTTGTTTATTTGTTGTCAAATGTTAATTAATTTTTATTAAATATTTAAATCATAACATTAAAAATTAAATAACTATTCAATGTTGGACAAAGTTTTAATTTAAAATATTTAAATTCCAATCCAAAGTTAAACATTGATACAATCATTATGATTAACAAATTCTGTGTGGAGCTATTAAAAGTAGGTACCTATAATACATTTGATATTTTAATCCTTAGTCAAACTATGATAAGCACAAATATCTGAAATATCACATAAATTAGTATTTGTATTAAAGGCTGGGTTTTTTTGACATTTGTACTTCAAAGGAACATATTACTGTTTCAGATATTTACCATCATTGACATATTCCTTTTCGCCGTTGAAAAAAAATTACGTTTACGTCATTGTGATGAAATTTAAGCTAGCATGTATAGTAAATCCGGATATCGCCTATAAACTAGGGAGTGGCATGCTAAGGCAATTATTTGCAAAAATCTATAACAAGACCACGTGCTGCGTTTAACGTGTTTTGTCTTCCAATCTGGGCAACATCTACGTAGAGAGATGTACTGCATTTAATATTACGACCATCCCGAAAATAATAAATGAAACGTATCGTAAAATCTAAATGGCTTTGCTTAGAACACCATAAGCCGTCCGTCGAAACGACTTCAACTATGACCACCACTATAATGAAGCTATACAACATATAACTATAATATAATACATATGAACGGTAAAAAGATCATTACGAAAATCTGTATTACATCAATTATCGTGCAATAGTTACCATGGCATTTAATCAATGCCACTGCGTTGCTTTCCCGTTATCAAATTCGCTGCAGGATTTAATAAAATAATGACCATGCGAGTTCTCTTCGTATATAAACATACGCCTGGGGAACATAATTTATAGTACTTACTGTAATACTTAGTGTGAACTAGTATACTATTATACATTTATACAAGTATAGTCAATATAGAAAATATGTGTATAGTGCGTATAAAGTGTGCACTGTGCATGTGTAGCACACAATATGAATATGGATCTAATGTGTGACTATTTAATTGATTGAATAATCTTTTTTTTTGATTTGTCTGTAAAATATAATAATAACGAAAAAAATGTAGAAATTCACAAACTGTAGTACTCGTAAACACGATTCATGTACATTATTGTTATTATAATAACCACACTCTTCGACGGCGTGCGGCAGTAGTGTTTTAATTCATAGTGCACACAGAGTGCGTGCGTATACACTATAAACATTACATCGGTTATAAGACGGCCGACGCGCATAAGTCTGTGATTAATGAATACATAACTAGCGAAAATAAATTTTTTTTAATAAAAACTTTATTTTCTCGTTGTATATTTTTATTGTCACGATCGAGAAAACGATGAAATCACACACTCAGTGGTGGGTATTTTATGTATATTACAGAATGATTCATCAGCCATGCTCACCCCCGATATTCCATTAATTCCAATTACGAATGTTTTCGCACTTTGATTTTTGGAATTTTCGAGTTTACTTATGACCAATTCTTTGACTTTCTAATTAGATATTTAATGCCATTCAAGAAGCGTCTTTTTGTGAGAATTTTTTTTTTCAAATGAAAACGGCTTTTTTTCGTGTACTATCATTTTTAATTTTATTTGTTGTGTACGCCAATGATTTTTTTTTAAATGTTGATAAATATAAATAAAAATGTATTGAGTAGTTTCTGAATAATTAACAATAGCTTTATAGAGGTACTAAAGATAATGCTCATGATAATAAATCCAATTAGTTTAAAAATCATATGTAGGCAATTATAATTTTTAAATATTTAATTAATAATTAATTATTAGCATTTTTAATTTTGTATAAACTGCTTAAATATTAATTAAGTATTAAATAAAATATTACATTAGTTTTAAAACCTGATGTAAGCCCATTAAAAGGAATGTGAATTATTATCTTTGATACATAACGTTTAATAATTCAGAAACTATTGAGTTAAAACTTCAAATAGGATTATTTGACATTTACAAAAAAAAAAAAAAAAAAAGAGACCATTCAATTATAGCTTACCGTAAAAAAAAAGGATACAAATTACAAAACATTATTCGATCAATGGTATAAGAATACGAGTAAATGCGTGAGAATATTACGATTTTTAGAAGCGTCGAAAAAAAAAATTCCAAGTATCATAATTTTAATAAATGCGTTTTGAAACGATATAAGTGTGGGGGGGGGGTGTGCTCGGCGAATCACCCTGTATGCACGAATGTGTGTGTATATATATATGTATATAATATAGTACTGCGATCGCATCGATCGGCGGCGTTTTACGGCGACGACGTTGGCCGCCGAGCTGGCGAACAACGATGGGCATGCGCCTCGATCGGATAATGTACACACACACACCCACACACATACACACACTCACTAACGCCTCAACGCCGCGCGTCCAGTGTTCGTTGGAATAGTGAGCACCGCAAGCGCGTGCAACTGTTGATATATATATATATATATATATATATATTTATATATTTATATTTATATATATATATATATTGTCAAGTATATCGGTTCGGGCGAATTTATTTTTTTTTTTTGTTCCGCCGCCGCCGCCGTGCAGTGGGAGCTCTGAGTCCTTTCAGTATTCGCGTCCACTCGTCCCCCGAAGGAAATTATTATTGTAGTGTAACCGGTGGCGCATATTGGTTCTTACGCGTCGTCACACAGTGTTGTCGCCGAGAAGAAATCCCTCACAGCTCCGCTACCGCAAAACGATTAAATATAATTAATAGATATACACACATATTACAATAATATTACAGTCTATTGAATATTAAAGTCTTACACCGTCGCCAGCGCCGAACCGAAGATTCACAATGTCTTTCTTTCAGGAGGAGAACGACGAGTAAGTGTAATCGTACAATTCAGTAGATCCAAGATAATAATAGTGTTTTAACGAAATTTAAACCATACGTAGAAAACATAAATTTTAATATCATGTATTATGCATCGTCTCTGATAGCAACGCGAATAAAACGTATCCGAACGTGTTAGTTCGCATTCGTATATTTTTAATGTTTATGTTACATATTGTATAATAGTAATATTATACCTTTAATATAGTTGTTTACCTTGCTGATGGAGTTTTATACTTATGTATTTCATACTCGGCATAATAATAAATAATAATATTATCATAAAGCGATTCGTTCCGAAATATTATGTATACATCTACCTACCTACTCATAACTGTCATAACCGTTTCAAGTGTATCGTGACTGTATTAATATTTAATGACAAAATAAAAAAGAACGATACGACTGCATTATTGTACACCTATACATAAATATACATGTTTATCATATATATTTTTTTTAATTAAATAATATATTAATGTTCGGTTCACATAATATTTTACTATAATGTATTATAAAACATTACCTGCACTAGCAAAAAACATTTTTACGATTTTACTATTCTCGGAAATATTAATATGCTAACAGCAGGTACCTACCTATAATACAATATATATATAATAATATTCTAATATATTTAGTTATATGGTGTAGTTTATTGTTTAAAAACCAATATAATATGAGAAAAAAATAATATATTTATTTGAATATTGTGTTTGGTGTAATGTAAAATTATTGAAATAAATATTAAATTATTTTCAAAATTGAAAATCACATAGAAATATGTAATTTAAAATACTATAAAAAATATTTTTGTAAAATGTGTATTTAATATAAATTTTACATATTCCCGTATTAAAATTATTCAAGAAAAAAATGATTTTAAAACCCGATAAAAGATAAATATTTTTTTTCAACTTTAAAAATATGAATCCTTAAAACTAAAAAAAGAATTTATTTATTTTTAAAAGACTTTTAATAAACTTTTACACAAAAAATATAAGATGTTCTTAACCTTTGATGTCTGCAAACAACATAGAAACAAACAACAAAATAATTCAACAACAAAGAGTAAAAATCAATAGTGTGAAAGTTTCTGAGTTTTTAACTAAAAAAATAATAAGTCAAATTTTCACTCAAGAAGATATTTACTACCAAGCGCTGTGATAATTAATTTCTTTAATTTTAATTTCAAATTTAAAATGCAATATTTAAATAACATTGATAAACATTTGAAATTAGAGTAAAATTATATATTAAAATAAATTGATTAGTCGTTAATTTAAGTACATTATAGTTTTTTATGCAAACATTGTGAGACAATCAAATAATATATCTTGCATTTATGTTTATGGAAAACGTTGTGGTAGACAGTATTATTATAATCTTGCGTTGTGTAGTATACTAGTATATAAAGTATAAATATTTACTATAACATAAACACAGTAATTTATTGGTTGGTAACAATAATTTAATAATAATATGTATAATAAGCAAATTTAGGTATATAAGTATGTTTTGTAAAAATTTATCTGTACTCATTCAATTTTATCATGAAAGTGACCCTTGTAATTTTAAAGATTTTAATTAGCATCTATGTTGTTTTTATATAATATTATATTTTATCAAACATTATAAACTCGCTCGATTAATCAATGAAAAGAAATCATGATGTTTAAAAAATGAATGTGCGATCACGATAAGTCAGATTATCAATTAGTTTTATTATTATAATCTATATAGTATACTATAAGGTTATTAATTATGAATGGGGCTAAGGCTTAAAAAACATTTATTGTTTGGGTGATGCAAAAATAACAGAAAGGTCATAGCTCATAGATGTGTAACACTATGTACGAGTCCAATGCTCAAATTGTAGAGTGGTGTGGGGGGCAGAGTTTCTCTCTAATTTTTTTTTCATATTTTGAGAGCACTCCTTCTATTTTTTTTGAAATAGAACGGTGAGACAGAACGATTTATTTTGTCAAAATAATATTAAAATTTTGTAATTTTTATCTCGTAAAGTTGTACCTACTACCTACCTATTCAGTGAGATATTAAAATTCAATTTTAAAATTTTTTTCATGATAAATGATAATTGATAACGTGATCAAAAGTACTGACTAAGATATGGTAGGTATAATATTTTAGTTTATGGTCAAAAGTCTTTTATCTATTTATCATTAATATAAAATTTATGATTAATTAACTTTGATAATCGGTTAATTCAAAATAATCACGTGATATTATAAATAAACAATAATCATATCACATAATATCTCGATTAATATTTTTTCAGAATTTTCTGTTTAAAGACAAATAAACTTACATTTTAATGTATTAGATCAAAACAATTGACCTGACAATTGTAATATTTAATACGGCGATGGTATGTCGTCAGGCGATTAGTAAAAACATTTCAAGTTAATGAAAAGTCAATAATGTGTGGCTTTCGAGAATTTAAAGATACTAAAAATAAATTTTCATTACAAAATCTAAACTTTCTGTTGACTGTAATAAAGACAATAAAATTGTTATATCATCAAGTGGGCGTGAACATGCTCTTAGTTATATGAAAAATTTAATGATTATCAATAGAAATACATTAAGTTCTATTCAAATTCTTCCCCTAGTGTTAATAAATTGTATTGGACATCCAGTTAAACATTTTTAAATTAGAATCGTATATATTGTTTTGGATACGCAAAGGAAAGATATCCGCTGAAAATTTTTTTCTTGTTTATTAAAGAAATAACTTTTTGGGGCATTGAAAATTTTAAATTACTCCGATAAGTGATATTTTATATGCATTGAAACTATTAGGATACAAATTACAATTGTTATAGCAAATGAATTATTTTTAATTTTCTGTATTCATATTGCAAAGAAAATTGGATAACAGTGATATTGACAATAAACTTGCTGCCGTCAAATCTTTATTAAATTAACAAAAACATTTCAATATACAAGTTATGTGATATGAATATTAAATAACAATTATCGTTATATTTTATGAATATTAAGTGTGTCTACGTGATTGTGTAGATAATAAATATAACTGTATAAAAACACTCAGAACTATATAATATAATCTACAGACTATTTTAAAGTATACTTAAGTATCAAATTTATTATTTAAAAAATTAAAAACAATGTTCAGTATATTCGAAATTTTTTTCTATGCACAGATATAGAAATTTTTTTGACAAAACCTATTTGAGTTCTTGAGTTTAATATTCAAGAGAAAACGTCATTATTTTTATTTTGCTTTATTCAATGTGCAAGAATAATTATACAAAAGAAATATGAAATACTTATTTCTATTTTGTTGTTATTGTATATGCTTGTTGATTATATTTTATATTAAAATCTATACACCATTCCAACTTTGCAGTGTACTATTTTTAAATAGAATGATTCAAAAATTTAGTATAATACTGTAATATGTACGTTGTAATTTAGAGCTGTTATTCTCTCAAAATCTTAAAACTCTTAATGCATTATCGTAATTTATAGTTACATAAAATGAACTAATAATACTGTGCGTTTTTATTAAAAACTAACAACACGTTGACTGAAGGTTATTGAAATATATTTCTATGACTTCAGTAATAATATATGAACGCGTCAACTGTTCTTTTGTCAACACTCATAGGAGCAAATAGTTACAGTCGTTTGTTTGATAGTAGTTTTTAAGACATATCTACTTGTATTTATTTATAATATACCTACTAAATTAAACAAGAATTAAATAATAATATAATATAATATTATGCTTCTTTTTATGCATTGCGTATACTTGTATGATTGTTATTGTAATACAATATTTATCCAATAAATTCCAGACAATATAATAGACAATATAAATGCTCGCTTAAACTCTTAACTTTAAGCGTTTTATCTTTTATATATTATATTAGTAAGTACGAGTAGTAGGTAAATCGTAGTTACAAATAATATAAATTAACGCACACGTAAACGCGTAATGTAAGTCCTCGTTTAACGTTGAAGTTAAATTCCTATAAAAAACGATGTTAACCGAAAAAAAATGTTAATGAAAACATTTTTTACATACACTTTTTTAATTGCGCGATGTAATTATTTGAATTCAATTATATATTATGCTAAAAATTAACGAACAATTATAATCAAATACACGTACTTATTTACAATTTATTTTTTAAAAAATGTAAAACGATTACGGGTTATATACTACATAAAATAAATAAAAATAGTAGCTAAGTATGGTAGGTATGTCTACAAAAACGTTAACAGTATTATCTGAAAAAGGTCGACGAAATTAAATTACTTATTGTATCGACTTATACGAAATTTAGATACATATAACAAAAATTTGATGAACACATATATTACAAACGACGTTATACTGAAACCGTTGCAGTATTAAACGAAACACAAGGACTTAAACTTCTACGACGTAATAGTTATACAACACTAAATTGAGGCGACGTTAAACGAGGACTTACTGTATACATCTTTTATCTAAAACCATGTGTCTGTATCGACATAATAGGTACCTATGAGGCATGAGCTATGATTTAATAAGTAGTAGTCGTCATGGGTGTACGAGATATTATCTTTATCGTCGAAACATTTTTAAACAATTTTTGTAGATGCGCTCGATTTTAATCGTTCATTTATGAAATGCATTTTATCTTTTTATTTTTATTTTAGCGATGGTGAATTTAATGTATGAATATTCTTTATTAATACACGGGAATTGTATAGATTACATTACTACAGCAATCTTATGAATATTATATCATAGTGATCGCGGTAATAAATTCCCAATTTGACTAGATGTTAAAATGCATAACACCAGTATATTCTTACACAATAATATTGATTACAAAATAATGAGAGTACATATAAGAGGTATTATATTATGTGTAAATGTATAGTATACTTATGTTTATTTCGATCGAAGAAAATTGAGTTAATAAAATAAAATATATATTCCAGTGAAAGTTGAACTACATCACTTTAATATATTATGGTAATAAATATAATGTAAAATAATGTATGATGGTTATAGTCTGTAAAGTATGTATATTCAAAAGTTATATACTTAAATTGACTTTCACTTTTCCGAGCTTTCTATCTTATTCCATCAAACTAATAATAAAATATTACGCAATAATTATTATAATTTTATTATATTATGTAAATATAATCTGGTATATTGATATCATATCATTTTAAAATAATACCATTGATACCCCCTATTATAATAATACAATTTATGGTATAAAAATATTCAAAATAAAAAGAACATAAAATATGCGTAAGAATATTATGACTTAGAGGCATTTGAAAGTAATTATTTTTCATTTTTTAAGCATATCTACGTGTTTAAATTTTATTAATTACTATAAAGACTAATCAAAATATAATAATGTAAAGTTTGTCTTAATTTTGTTTTTATTACAGGTATGAAGACGTGAGCACTGTTATGGTTCGAAACTCTCATCTAGATCTCATGGATCAAGATATTTTATATCATTTGGCTCTAGGAAGTGGTTCGCATGATCTAAGAGCCATGTTCGGTGATGTTAAGGTATAGTTATGAATAATTACATTAATGTTATTTTATTGTGTGCAACTATAAAATTGAAATCACAATTTATTGAAATGTATATCTATTCAATAATTATTTAGTTTGAGCAATACAACGTTTAAACTTTAATGTAAATAACAATTTGTAAAAAAAATAAAAAGATAAAAAGGAGAAAAGGGTAACAAACTTGCTATTTAATAGGTGTAGTATAAGTTGAGTGTACCTCATTGAAAAATCACTATAATGTATGAATTAAATTTGTAATCAATAATTAATGACTATACGCACGAAAAACAATTTTAAGCGAAGATAATATTCAGTTAGTCTATATGACTAAGTGTATTTCATAGTATATTTATATTTTAGTAATTTATTTTAATATTAAAATTGTATTAATAAAACAGCAGGTTGAACTATTTTTTGCCAAAAACATAGCATTTATTATATTATTAATATTGAATAATCATAATTAACTTTTGAGTTAAACCAAACTTGTAGAACAGTGTGAATAAGGTTTGTGGTATAGATAGGAAATAGCATAGAATTAATCTAAAAATGTTTTAAAAATAAAACCATTTATATTTTATTTCTAACTATGTAAAGTATCAATTAAATTCACTTTTTTACCAAGAAGAATATTGAAGTTGAAAATCTAAGCATTTTTACTGCTCCAACAACATACCAAAAACAAAAACAAAAAACACATTCCATTGTAAAATCAATACGTTTATCGCTCTGCTTAGAATTTAAAACATGATATTATATTATAATAGTTATAGAAATTAAATTAAATAATAATTTTTTCAACTATCTATAAATATTTTTAATTAATTTCAAAATTGAGTAATATTTCATAAATTTTCTGATACATTCAAAATATTCCTGATAGAGATTTAATTAAATAAAACCATAAGTATTATTCTCTATATCACTTAATCCCATGACCTCTGGTGAAATTATATTTTTTAATTAAGTCTATACCTTAAGGCGAAATTACTAATTATGATCTCAAATAAACATATTATTATGTATAAAACAGTTAGATATTTTACTAACATAAGATAATCACAATTCCTAATCATCTGGAATTAGTTTCTATAAGTATTAAATACGTACATTATTATAGATACCTAATTAGGAATATCAGAGTTATGTTATTGGTAAATTTATTATCCTAGTTTAGACGATAGCGTCGATGTCGGTAATTAAAATTTTTATAGTAATAATAATATAAACGAAGCCAACAAAAATAAATTTATACAAGTAATATATACACAAAAAAAGACCTTACAAGTTATAATACTAATGAGCATGAAATAATTGATTATTGATTTTATTTTATAACATATAAATGTATATAATCGTTATTTGCTTATATCAGAATAAAGAATCTGAATTATTTTTTATGTAGTTTGTGTGTATGGGTGGAACGCCAAAACGCATGGAACAATTCGCTTATAGATTAATGGAAGAAATATCATACAAAATACCTACAGGTACCACGTTACAGGACATCAGTCGATATTCGTACAGATATTCAATGTACAAAGTAGGCCCCGTTTTGTGTATAAGCGTAAGTACAATATTATTATTATTAAAATTTTAGTAAATCATTAATTATTATAAATAAAACCGAATGATTACCATGTGTTTAATATTTTCGTTTCGTTGTTACCATCCGCGGAAACCAAATTATTTCCCAGTTTTGCGTTGTTAAAACATATTTTTTTTATTCGATTTTTATTTTTAGCATGGAATGGGCATGCCTTCAGTGGGAATCCTTTTACATGAGATCATTAAACTGATGTTCCACGCCAAAGTTGTAGATCCTGTTTTCTTTAGGATAGGTACAAGTGGTGGTATTGGGCTGGAAGGTGGGACTGTGATCATTTCCGACGAAGCCGTGGATGGAACTCTCCAACCACATTTGGAATTAGTAAGTGTATTACATTTGATATTTTTACGTATAAATATATAATATTGGTTGAATTGTATATCGAGTACTTTTCATACTTTTGTAATTAATTATTTGAAAAATATTACCTATGCAGCAAATTTTGGGAAAAACTGTGAAAAGAAGTTCAGTCCTTGATAAGAAACTGCAGTGGGAGTTAAAATCACTAGCAGAACCGGATGACCCGTATCCAACAGTGATCGGCAAGACTGTATGCACCAGTGATTTCTATGAAGGTATATATACTATAAATCATAAATATAAATTATTATTATAATATACTTCTGCAATGTGCTTTGGATATAAAGACTTAATTGTTATCGCGTTATTCAGTTATCTGGAAAGAAATATGTCTAGACACCCAGGAATCCTATTATTATGAAAAGCCATTAATTATATCAATAACATCTCCATGAAAATATTATATGACCGTACTGGATTAGGTTAAGTAATAATATTATATCAGCTATAGCCTTTAATTGTTGAGTTAATATATGTATCTAACATATTTACAAAATTGATATCATATTATAAAAATATGTGTTTTTTGAAAACTGTGAAATATTTCCTCTAGTCTAATTTGTAAGTCAATTTTTTTTTACGATGATATTATACTCGTATATATATATATATTTAATAATAACATAAAAAATATAATAAACATTATAACTTAAACAATCATTAATCTCTATAAAATATTTTTAAAACTGTCTGCGAATTGCATATTTGTTTTTAGTTTTTACAAAATAATAATGAATACAACTATTAACCTAAATGGTGTGAAATCGAGAAAAATTGAATTTCTGGTTATTAGGTTCGATTTTAAAATTGCTATATTTTATTTTACTTATAAATCAGGATAAAATTTTTTCCTATACTTTTATGGAAAAAATCTTCTACAGTTCTCTGTGATCAATCACCTGTTTTACTATAATTTTTTTCGTACCTGAAATACTTTCATGGCTACATGTGCACAAATATACAATGAACAGCTGTCTTCGTTTCTATAACTCACGTTTAGGTATAAAGTAAAAACTAATTGAATGTTATTAATTGGGATGAATAACTGACAAAAAAGTTTATTCACAAACTGTTAACATACATTATTTAGTAATTATTGAAGTTAAATTCTGGAACAGTTGGCCACCCTTTATTGGTACATTGAGAATCACTAATTGGTGTAGTCATGGACAACAGTTAATACCAAAGTGTATATTATTATGATTTAACGATTGTTGATGTTGTAATTTTGCATTTTAAATATTTTAAATTCTGAATGGGATGAAAAATGTATTAATTTTACAATACTTTGTGTTTTAGATTGTGAGGGGAGCAATGAATGTATTGATTTTAAAACGATGTATATTTTTTTTGTGTGTGAAAATACTTTTTATAGCAGAAAAAATTAATTCTTCAATATTAAACTGCAATATCTTTTCTTATAGAAAAGTGAATGTAGTTAGTACTTTTTTGGTGGGGCGAGATAATGAATTATCTAAATTAAAGGAAAACGAGAATTATATTATTTATACACAAAATACATGAATATATTCACATAAAAGTAAATAATAATAATAAATGATAGTAAATTTATGCTATCTTAATAATTAAGCAGTATATAACATATTTTTTTGGTAACCTTGGTTACTAACAATTTGGAATTTCTTCGCTCAGAATCGTTTTTATCGTAAATAGTTATTGAATTCAAATAAAATACATCTCAGTAACCTACTCCATGATGGATAATGCACACTTGACACTTATAATACTGTACAACAGAGCAGTTACCTACTCAAGGGTTTTTTTTTTTATATATACAAGTATTGTGCTAAGTGTTATTATTTTTTTTAACTCGACAAATTGTGAAATGAAAAATAAATAATAATTGTTCAAGATTTTATGAATATGATAAAATGAGCTGTTAACTTGTGTAACTAATAGGTTATATTGGTTGGCAAAAAAAATCTAGGTCAATTTAAAAAAAATATGAACTTGCTAAACTTTTAAAAGCAACGAGATTGAATTTTTTTTTAATTTAGTCGTTAAAAATGAGGCTAAAAAGCAAATTAATTATAATAGCTCTAAAATAAATATGTTTTAAAATAAATAATAAGTATTTTTATATTATGATAAAAATTTCAAAAATATTAAATTTTATTACTTGTTCAAGGCATATTTTAGCACTTTAGAATAACTACATATACATGCACATTGCACATTTAAAAAAAATTAATAAAATATATAATTCTCTACCCTAACAATAATAATTTAATGGTATCATTCATACATTTATAAATTGATTTAATTTTACATCATTTAAAAACGAAAATGATAAATGTATACTTAATTTTTAAATTTCCATCAAAAAATTGAGCATATTTTATAGAAAAAATAATGTTAAACTAAGTTATATTTAAACATAAAGAAAGTCATAAAAAATTAACGCTCTATAAGTCTTATCTTTGCCTAAGTTAAGGCTTGTTGGTTGAATACTATTTTGAAATATGGTTAACCATTGTATAAATAAAAAAACTAAAAAAAATAAAAATTAAATACCAATTTAAAAAAAGTCTTGTATTATTTCTTATAGAATTAAATATATTTTTGCTTAAATAATTTTTATTCTTCTTAGTTTAATACTTTGTTTGATCACGCACCTGAAATGTTTATTTTTTATTGAATATTCACGTTTTTCATATCTCATTTTAGGTAGTTATTATTTAAAATAATAAAATAAGCTGGTTTTCATTCATAAAACTTGTTGAGTTAAATTCATTAGAAATTTAATGAGAATTAAGTTGAGCTTTTTAGTGTTCAAGACAGTATTTTTTTAATACTAAAAAATCCAAATGATTGTAAACAATATACAAGGTGCTTTATAAAACCATGTAGCCCTGTAGTAGAATCGTTCCAATGAAAATCTATAATATTTAGCAATTTATAAAAAAAAAAAAATGATAAATAATTTGATTTTGTTATAATTCATAAATATATAATTTTAATTTTTCGTTTAAACATTAAAAATTAAATAAATTAAGAAAAGAATGAATTCTTTTCATGTTGGTTTTTATACGTACAATAATCATGATGGGTTTTTGAACTCATCTTAACTTCTCAGTAATCTTATAGAAATTTTAAGTATTGAAATATCATGAAAATATTTTAACAACTTAACAATATTGCGGTAATTTAATAATAGTATTTTAATTTAATAAAAACATAAAATACAAGAAGTCGTAAAATGTTTTACAATTAAAGTATTTTTTGTATAATATTACGTTTGTCAGTGAAAACAGTAAGTAAATTAATATTAATTATATTTTTGTAGGCCAAGGACGTATGGACGGAGCATTTTGCGACTTCACAGAAGAAGAAAAAATGGAATATTTAGAAAAATTGAAATTTAATGGTGTGAGGAATATCGAGATGGAATCTTTAGCTTTCGCAGCGCTCACGCACCATGCAGGAATTAAAGCAGCCGTAGTTTGTGTCACTCTGTTGGATCGGTTAAAGGGAGATCAGGTAAAATTTTATTAAAATGTTAATGGTTTTCGTTTAAATGAATAGTCCTTATAAAGTTAAATTTCCGGTGCAGATCTAAAAATGTTTAACTGTTTTATAATTTTATTTGAAATATCAAATAATAATAGGATTAGAATACCTAATTAATATTTTTCCAATCATTTATTGAATGCATATAAATTATGATGTACAATATAATATATAACTATATTATTATGCAGTATGTTTTTTAAATGTATAATATATACATATATATTACCTATGAGAAATAATTAAGTTTTTGAATACTTTATTAACTTAAATGTATTCGATGTTTTTAAAAATAATAGAGTATTTAAAGATCAAATAATTATTTAATTTAATTTAATTTTTTTTTTTGTGTAGCAGTTAAATAATTGATAAATATTTATTTTAGTGAATAATAATATTTATGATCACATTAAAAGTAGGTAAATACAGATAAACAAATTAGAACGGTTAAACACGATAAATGACAAGGGATTACTGAATCCCCTAAATCCATACCTGCTACACACACACATACATAAATAATAATTAAATACCTATACAAGTATATAGGCTTTTAATACATATTATGTATTATATATACACTATGCGTCATGTACACTCATAATTAATATTCTGTGATTTTCCTCACCTCCTATACGTATAATCATCATTCTTTTTGGCTAACATGAATAAATTTAAAAATTCCTTCTCTTCCCTTGATATTAGCTTTCGTCCTTATTTTGTACTATTATATTGTTATTGCCACTTTCGAAATTTATTTTATATTTACAGATCCATTACCCCAAAGAGGTGTTGGACGAATGGCAGCAAAGACCGCAGAAATTGGTATGCCGTTATATAAAGAAATATCTTTCAAAACGTGGTTTGATTTTGAACAATCACTGTGGATCGGTGAACGTCAAGAGCCCGAGGAGGTTTAAGCTTGTCCAACAAGAATCCGAAAGTTATGACTAAATCAAACGATTCAATACAATACACTTACGAACGTGCGCCTCAGCACGATACGCGTCTAAATAATGTAATATACTATAACTGTTGATGATTAAATACTACCTATCTATACACGATAGTATACGTATTTATATGATTTAGGTACGCGGATTCGTGTTGAACAATGCTATTTTATTCCAACTATTTCTTCTTTTTAAAAACTTTTTCATACTTATTATTATTATACTCTATCTTTATATCATACACTTATATATATTAAATATACCTAATCTATCATTAATTATCATATATTCTACGATATATACCCCACTCTTAAAATATTTTTTAACGTTTTTTATATTAATTAAATGTGTATTAAGTATAACTTTTCTGTAATAAAAAACTTAGTATATTAGCAATATTTTAACTAGTAGAAAACTAAAATACTCACTTATATACAATTTACATATTATTTCATATAAACTGGTTTTACTCAGATATATAAAATCTACTTTTTTATTGACTATACAGACCTATTACTTATTGTTAATTATAGTCGTACAATTGTACTTGAACATCACGTATTTACAAAATATTCCATCTTTTCTTAGTAAAAATAGTTTACGCGTTTCATTATAAAAACTGCTTTTTGAACAACGTGTATTGTTTATAAAGCCTTTAACTATGTTATTATTGCTCAAAATTTATTTGCAAGTAATTCTAAACACCAATAAGTTGGCAGCTAATAATGATACAAATACAAATTACAATTAATACCTTATGTTATATAATAAATTTACTCAGTTTAAAATTTTAAACTATAAACAATAATATTGATATATTTTAGCAAATTTAGGTAAAAAAAAAAAATAATTTTAGGAAGTTAACCAATGGTACTGTTAAATGTACCTATTATTGTTATACAATTATAGTTTAGCTAAATAAATGTTTTTAATTAGGTACTGATTTTGCAGATCATAATATCTTATTGGACATTTTTTCAATTTATACTATTTATTATAATACAAAATGATCTTCTTGTATTAATAAAAGGTGATTGTTAATTATTGTATTTTAAAGTTCAGTATAGCCTTATAAGATCATGTTAATTATTTTTCCTGTATATTTTATGTAATTACAAAAACCAAGAGAACTGTATATTATATAAAACGCACAGTAAATTTTTGACTCAATGTAAAATTGTTTATAATTTAATATAACTATTTATATAAGTGTAACATATTCAACTATAATAACTATAATTAGATTGTAATCGTCAATTGTACATGTTATTTAGTTAGATCATTTATAAATCAACGATTTAGACTAGATTAATTTAATTACTATATCTATAAAAATATAAAAAAAAAAAAAATGTAAATCAACAACCATTACAAATAATATCATACCTATTGTTTACATTTTATAATTAAATATAAACGAGTTTGATAAAAAAATATACGACAAATATAAGCGCTATAATATCTGAATATCGGTTTATCTGTTTCCGGGTGTACTGAAAATCCTAGCTTAATGATAGCATTAATCATCGCAAATGTTGATGACAAACAGTTGGATGCAAATCTGTCTTAATAATAATTTTTGTGGTAAAAAGGTTTTTCTTGAGTCGGTGGGAGGGTGGTGAGACTTTTCTAAAATAATTTTGCTCGTTCGACCACACTGTCTCCTGTAAGACGACAAAGATGTCCAAAGTTTTGTACTAGACTACTAGAGCCAACGTCTTTGTCAACGCTCGATGTTGACAACATCAATCAATAGAAGTTCCTTGAACAAGATTTTTTTCTTTAGAGATCGGAAATCAAAAGTCTTAACAACTGATATTTAATATTTTTAATTTACGTTTGTGATTATTTTATTTAAGTCACAACTCACTATATTATGTACACAGCAAGTTATTCTTTTATCGAAAAACACCAACACATATTTTAAAAAGTTTTTAAAAATATATTTATTTATTCTCCCTTCCGTAAAAAGCTTATAGACTATTTGACAGTATTTTTCTCTTCTTTAGAATTTTCGGATTTTATTTTTCTTAAATTCATAGTATATTTCACACCCTATATTCTTCACTATTTAATACGGTTTAATATGGTATATTGTTTAATATGGTGGTGATCTTCTCTACTATTTTTCCTTTCTATAGATCTTTTTTTTCTAATATATTGTTATGTCGTATCGTATGTCTAATTAATTTATTTCTTCTAATCTTCAGGTCTTTTAGAAAGCCTCCTCTTTTTTCTATTTTACAAAAAATGTTTTTGTTCATTATACGATCTATTCAATTTATTTTAAAAATTTTCCTAAAACACCATACTTTAAATGTCAGTTATTTCTTTTCTTCATACTTTCCTTTAGTTTACGTTTTATTGACGTAAAGCGTTACGTTCCGGATATAGGTTTTAAAAAAAAATTCTCTTAGTTTTAGATCTATATTCTATAATAATAAGTATTGAATTTTGCCGGACATAATAACGTTAGTGTATGTATATAACACTATTTATAATATACATATAAATAAGTCAAATTATTTTATAATCAGGAAGCGACGAGATTAGTAAGAGAAAACACGATGTACAAGTAACTTCAGATTTGCGTATTTCAGGCCCTGAAGATGATTTTAGGAGATTGTCATGTGACACGATTTGCACACAATTTATGCGATGAATGCGAATCAGATATGACTGCCAATGTTCTGCTAACCAGTACTGGCGGTCGCAATCGCGTCATTATAAAATCGCGTAGTTTGTGAATTGTGGATCTATATTCACTTTGCTAAGGAATTTCAAGAGGCAAAATCGCATCGCGTGACAATCAACCAGTATGCCAAAGGCCTTATTTATTGCACGTTCGAGAAAAAAATATGCATCTACGTCACTATTGTTTTAAATAAAATATTTTTTTTGTTTTTAATACATTCAACAAAATTTTTACTAATTTTTTATTAATACCGAAATTTCATCAACAAAACTACAACATTTTAGTTCAAAATCATTTTTTAGAAATTTATACCAGTATTACTAGTTAATCAATTCCTATGAAAATAAAATAAGGAAAACCAATCAATTTACAGAGAGTTCATTAGAATCTCAATTTATATTATGGCTATCTATTGATTTAGAATGTAGATGGTAGATTTATTGTAAATTTCATTATTGGAAAATCAGTATATTATATACTTATTTTGAATTTTTTAGTACATATTTAATCAACATATTTATGTTGTATAAATATATATTTTTTGTGGCATATCAAATTAAATATAATATATAATGGTTATAAAAGTTTAGTTAAAAGCTAAAAAATATCCACAAATTAAATTTATTTGTGGATAATTATTCAAACTTTCGTATTAGTAGTAGGTATTTACAAAATTATTAAAAATATTTAATTCAAGTATTTACAATAAGAATTGTTGTAAAATAAATTTGCCTCAAAATCGTATTAAGTTGTGTGGGGGGTCTTTCGTTGTACGTTGGTACTAAGCGAGTAAAATATGAAGATGGTGGCAACTGAATATTTTCGTCTCGCTAACAATAAAATTCACCGTAGAAACCTAAAATACATGATCCATTATTAGCGTGATCATAATTTTCTTGTTCAAAAGTGAAATACTTTCTAAAAGTTTTTTACCGATACCAGTTAGTGGTTAGTTACAATAATTATAAAATACTTATTCATTAATAATTATACTCGCTATTAATTGTATTCTTAAATACAATTAATATTTTTTTAAAAAAAAAAACAAAAAAAAAATCGAATACTAATTTTTATAAAATATTATACATAGGTATTTATAATAATATTATAATAATTTATGATTGAATAATGAATAAAATTATAGTGGTTACTCCATACACCTCAATGGTGCACATTTCATAACTAAAAATTTTAATATTTAGGTAATACAATGTAATACAATATTTATTTAGGTGCACATATCATAAAAATTAAATAAAAAAATTAAAATATTGAATTTTTACAAATGCGTGAAAAAAATGGGATTATTTGAAAAGAGATGCAAATTTAAAAAGAGGAACAATCTTTTCTAATGTGAGACATTCATAGGTTAGGTACATTATCTATATATATATATATAAATGGAGCCAAAAATGTATAACAATTCATCAATTGAGAACGGCTGAGCCGATTTGGCTCAAATTTTTTTTAAATTGTTCGTAATTGCTAGGAGAAGGTTTTTACGAAAAAAATTGAGAATGAAAAAAACAAGAATGAAGTAAAATTTTAATTTTGTAATTTTCGTATCGTTTTTATTTATAACCGTAAATACCCTCTCCTTACATAGTTACATTGAACGCAATAGTCGATAGTAGAGATAAAATTTAGATTTTAATTTTTATCTATATGAAATACGATTTCATTATCCATTTTCCGTTGTTGACGTTACCAGAAAAACTGTGTGAGTACAATTGTATTTTATTTTATTTTATTTTCATTTATTTAATACCTGCGTTTCTTATAACATCATAGGTGGAAATCCATCGGAATTTCATTTGGAATTCCATTGAAAGTGCCCTCAAGCCCCTCGGGGTTAAGTTCGCCGTGTCCACTTAATATTTAAAAAAACTTATTGGCAAGGTTTGCCGGGTTAGCTAGTTAATTATAAATACTAACCATGATATAATTTTCTGTTTAAAAACTGCGGCTAAACATTTTAACTGAATCATTCATTGGCCGAAACACTAACCATATAGATTTCTGAGTTTGAATTTTTTACCGAACTTCAGTCTCAATAGGAAATAATTCAATAGCACAGTTCATATACGTACATGAACTGTTTTAAAAACACAGTTGTGAGAAACCGACTCTGAACGTCAAAAGACTGAATGCTACCCGGGATTGGTGTTTTAAAATGTAACGATTCAGCAAAATTAATATTATAAATTTAATTTAGATTATTATTATTATATACCTAATGTTTTATTAATTGGGAGTTAGGCCACTTTGGTAATTAGTAAATATTAAATAATTAATAATACTAAATAAATAATAATTTGTGTATATGTATGGAATATCTATACTTTAATGTCACCAAATAGTTAACGAATTTTATCCGGCCCGAAGTCTAAGAATAATTTTTTCAAATGCTTGTAATACCTACTACTAAACAATTTTCTATTTTTATTGTATTTTTATTTAAAATTTTTTTAAAAATTTGTTATTAGTATTAATAATTATGTTCTTAATGTTTATAAACAAAAGCAAATAATAAATAAAATAAATAATGTTTTTATTATATCCAA